ACCCATTGGCTCTTCGATTACTTCCAGACCTGAGATCATCTTAGCATGTGTTCTATAGTGATCAATAGCTTTCCCAAACCTGTCCATCAATCGCTACTAAGCGATTGAATAACTGGTTCCTCGTCTTCATAGCAGTAAGCTGATAATGCTGTTTCTTTTCGTCCTTCCCAACAATCTCCAATCCGTCAACCACCTCTTTACTCCCCACCGCCCATCCGGCAGCTAACTTCCCCTTCCATCCAAATCCCCCAATCTTCCGCAGCTCCCTAATATCAGTTACAGGCATACTGAATGATACGGTCCCCTTTTCCCTACTCTCAAGCCTCTGGTCACCCGACAGGGCACTGGGATCCGTCGTGAAATACATCACCGGCGGATTAAGCGCCGAGTCGATTACCACAGCTCCTCGGCTGCCCTTGTACCGAGCGTCAAACTGGACCGGTCCTGAAGGTAACGGCCTTTTTCCTTTCCTGCTGAGAATTCCAAGTCGGGATTTAGCATGCTCGGATCCTGCAGCTGCCCGGACCCGGTCGACTGCAAGTTTGCTTTCAATGCCCGTTGCGGTTGTTCCTCGGAAAAAGCCGACGATGCGGGAACCTATTGTTTTCTTGGGCTTGTTTGCTTGGGAATTTTCCTCTTCCTCCTGTGCTTGGGCTAAGGGGTCTGGTGCAGCTGCTTGTGTTATCTCTCCTGCCGACGCATCCAGGTTGACTTGGCTGGGGTTAAGTGATGTAGGGTGAGAGGGCGCTTTATCTAGTGAGTCTGCAGCAGGTGGTGGTAGGGGGGCAGCATTTTTTTCGCCGATGCGGAGGAGGGTTAAAGTTAGTTGAGCGTTTGTAGGAACTCCTTTTAGGAGGGAGCTGGTGGAGTAATCAGCGAAAAGTGATGGTTAGGTTAGCTCCATGAGGAACTTACTTTTCCAATTCAAGGAGCTTGATCCAGCCTGGGTATTTGCGATTCAAGTACGCAGTAAGACGAGCAAAAACCGGGTCTCCAAAGAAACCAAACCCTGCCACGAAAGTACCCATCTTGACAAAGACGTAGCTGGAGGTAATAATTGACCCTAATAGCCCAAGTGATAAAATGCTCGCTAAGCGGACATACGGGGTTGTAGACGAAAATGGTGGGGTTGGTGACAGGGCACTATCATTCCCACGTTAGAGATATAGTCCGCTCAACTTTTGAAGCGGATTAGACCTACTTTCCGAGCTTCTCATAGATATCAATGATATCACTCAGTATACGCATGCCTAGGTTTGCGCCGTTGAGGACTGTTTCCTTCATGGGCTCCCTAGTCTTATCATGAGTACTATCCGGTACTCCCCCGTGGGCTGCTGTTTGCGCATCTGCTGCTTCCGAGACAGTATGCATGGCATCGGGAACTGAGTCCTCCATGGGAGCACCTTCAGGTGTCCCCTGGTCATGTTTGCCAGCAACACTTCCCACTGCCACAGTCGCTGCACTTGTGATTAAGTTACTGGCCTCTTGTTCAGCAGCCTCGCCTTTCATTTTCTCCGGTGCGCCGGTGACACTATCGTGAGAGCCTAGCACACCAGCTTTGGGCTTCTGTACACCTCCGGTATTGCTATCAACGAGAGCGATAGGCGCAGGTGGGAACAGCCATGTCCGGCATGGAGGGTAAACGACCAGTGTAATTAGAAAACAGAATATTGTCGGCACTAGGAAATCCAGGAGCCATGCAAGGAAATATACCTAAAACGCCATACCGTCAGTCTTGAGGAAGCAGTCACGTACAATCTAGGTGAAATCATACTCCGCAAAACACTCCTGTCCGCCGAGGTTCCCTCCACGAACGTAGTCTGACAATGTGCTTGTAAAATGCAGTCAATGACACAACAATCGTTGTATAAAAACGCTCAAGAGTCGCCCGCAATTTATCTGGGGAGAAGTGCTCATCTTCGGCACGGTTGAGATCTAGCCTTTGTAACGGAGCATCTGGCACGGCCTTCACATAGTATATTTGCTGGCCTTTGTCAGCACTGGGAATCAATTGGTATCGAATGGCATACCTTGTTGAACCGTCTGATAAGCATCCAAAGGTCCTCGTTTGACAGGCCAGCCACGATCCGGCCCTGAGGGGCGTGTTCCCATCCCACATCTGTCACCTCATCGGTATCTCCGGCTTTCTGGGCCAAGCCTTTTTCATCGTGATCGACTTGGGAAAGAGCATGGCTATCTGTAGGTCCAAATGCTTCAAGCTGGCCTTGTTTCTCTCTCTCTTTCAATTCAAGTCTTGATGGACCATTGTCCCAGCCGGCTGTAGGGGCAGGCAGGGGGTCAGTGAAACCTTGTCCTGACATATTATATGGTGCTAACCATCAATGCCATGGAGGACCTTTGTTGAAAAAAGAGAAGGCATGGACCCTCAGTCAAGATCTATAGAACCAATGCCGTGAGGATGACGTCATCCTTTCTTTAAGCGTCCTCCGTCTACTGAGTACACTATTCAGAACTTTGGAAGAGTGGGTCCTGTTGCATGATACAGAGTAATGATCATTTTAATGTAGTAATTGATCCATAAGTGGAGTACTCAGCAATTCATGGCTAATCTGATGTCATTTAGTGCCAGATATATCAGGCATAGATCTGGAAGAAGAGCTCATTGCACCGCCACATAAAGCCGCTTTCAAGCCACACTTAAATCCCAAAATGGAAATACGCGTGAGATCGGATCGCGTCGTCTCTCAGTTTGTCCCCAACTGACTACTGCTTCCATTTTGGAGGGAAAAGCATGGCAGTGTGGTAGGTGTCAAAGGCAAGAGGTGCATGCATTTTTATCCTTTTCTTAACTGCCATCTCAGGTACTACTTTGGCGTAGAGAGAACTGAGTCACATCTGCACCGCTTAGCGTCCAGCCAGGCCAAGGAACTATGAGCGACACATGTGCGAACCCCCTTCTCTTGGGGTGGATCAAAGAATGGCTGGACCAAGCGAAGGAACGTAACAGTAAAGGAGTGACTGTGTCAGTATAACCAGGTTTCGCTTGACGAGTCTGCTGCTGATGCGCGTTGCTCAGATACAAAAAGGCCTACGAGTCGATGAAAGCATGTCCATTAGTCTTTCAACATCCGTCAGAAGCTCAGCAGCTCAATGGCCTTGGCCCTAAATTATGTGACCGATTGACCGAGAAATTAAAAGCTCACTGTGCGGAGAATGGCCTTCCAATGCCTGAGCATCCCAACAACGGTAGGTTTCCTTTTTCTAAATAAACTCTCAACAGGTTTCTAATACCAGCAACTGCAGCAAACGGTAAGAGACAGTCAGGCGAAGGTGCATCAGAGAGTCAACCGGCGAAAAAGCCCCGGAAAGCAAGACCTTATGTGCCAGCGTTACGGTCCGGACCTTACGCACTTCTGCTGGGTCTGGCCACTCTCGATGAAAATTCCTCTCAGGGCTTGACAAAAGCACAGTTGATTGACAGGGCAGAGCCATACTGTGACAGCTCATTCACAGCACCAAGTGATCCAGGCAAGTTCTTTACCGCGTGGAGCTCGATGAAAACACTCCTCCAGAAAGACCTAGTTTATGACCACGGCCATCCCTTGAAAAAGTATGCTCTTACAGAAGAAGGATGGGAGGTTGCAAAGCGGATCAGGAAAACCCTTCCCGAAAACCAAAACACCCTGTCCTTGGGAAATCAACTGGTAAGAGAGCAAAACAATCACCATGTATACTAGAAGTCTAACATACGCAGGATACGTCCGGCGCCCAAAACTCCAATAACAGTGGTCCAGAATCTCACCGTCAAGAAAGCAATGAGGACCTCGAAGCAATCCTCAACCCTCCAATAAACCAAGGAAACAACCTAGAAGATACCACAGTAACACCCATCACCCTACCCCCCGACAGCTTCACCGTCCAGCTGGTCCTGGACACCCGAGAAGTCCGAACGTCAACAGACAGAGACTACATCTCCAACGAGCTCAGTAAGAAGGGCATTAGCACACAAGTGCGCTCACTAGAACTCGGGGATGCAATGTGGGTAGCCAAATTCCACGACCCGAAATTCCTCTCGCAGTACGGTGAAGAAGGCGACGAAGTCATGCTTGACTACATTGTCGAGCGAAAACGACTCGACGATCTTATCGGCTCGATCAAAGACGGCCGATTCCACGAACAAAAGTTCCGTCTCCGTCGGTCGGGGATGAAAAATGTCATCTACCTCATCGAGGAATTCGCCGTCACTTACGAGGCTAATAGCGCCATCGCAATGAAATACCAGGAAATGGTCGCCTCCGCTATCGCCTCAACGCAGGTCGTTAACGGCTACTTCGTCAAGAAAACTAAGAACCTGGATGATACGATTCGCTATCTGGCCCGTATGACCTTTCTTCTCCGGAAAATGTATACACAGGACGCTACCCCGGATTCACAAGATGGACCTCCGTCTCATACCCTCAGTTTAATACCTAGTCGCCAATTGTCTTCCTCGCAATCATATCTCAATGCTCTTACTCAACTTCGAGCCGAGTCCCCCTCTGTTACATACGCTGTAACCTTCCCCACATTTGCCGCCTTGGCTTCTAAATCAGAGTCTCTCTCCCTCCGTGATGTATTCCTGAAAATGCTCATGTGTACGCGTGGTGTGACGGGCGACAAGGCCCTTGAGATCCAACGTCGGTGGCCCACTCCGCAAGCCTTTATACAGGCATTTGAGGAGTTAGATCAGAAGGGCAGGGAGACTATGGTTTCTGATCGGCTGTCGTCAGCTGTGGGGAGGAAAAAGGTGGCCAAGGTGCTTAGTAAAAAGATCGCTGAGGTATGGGGGGAAGGTGGCTGATGCTTTAGATTGCGCTGCAGGTCAGGAGATATAGCAGTTTCAAAGAAATTTTGTTTTGCAGTATGGTGTCAGTTTGATATTTGCCTTTGTAAACACCAGGCTTCTACTAAGTTGCAACTAAGGTCGCTGGCGAGTACCTCATATCATGGTATGCCTTACCAGTTCAGTGCCGGATAGCTGTACCTAAACAAAATCAGAGTAAATTCATGAAAGCAATAAATTAAGAATAAAGCCTATCAAAGACGTATATGCTATAACTGGTATGAAATCATAAAGCATAGCCATCCATAAACAAATCCTGCATCATATAGAATAACATACATCACAAAACCCACAAGCCACAAAACCAGTATTAAATTGACATCGATGCATTATAGCCATATAAATAGTCATTCATTTATCCAGGCCAAGAAGTTTCTTGATGGTCTTCTTTTCAATCCCCAAAGCAAGACTGCTGCAGACCACAGAGATACTACTTAAGGCCATCGCCAACGCAGCCCAAACAGGGCTCAGTCTCCAGTGTTTGTCAGCCATAACGGTCTCGGCCCCGATAACTTTCATCTCATAGCCATTGACAATGGGGTAGAACACCCCGGCGGCAACCGGTACAAGACAGAGGTTATAAACAACGGCCCAACCGAAGTTCATCTTGACGCGGTTGAACACCCGGCGACTAAGTACAACTAGCTGGAGGATAGTGTCGAGTTCCGAGTTCAAGAGGATAAAGCTTGCCGAGTTCATGGCAACGTCCGACCCGGATGCCATGGCGATACTGACATCTGCAGCCGCGAGAGCAGGCGAGTCATTTACGCCGTCACCGACGAAGGCTACGATTGATCGCGTACCTTGCTCGTTTCTCTGGCTCTCGGCTTCTGAGTCGGTTCTTGGGGGGTATACGCCGTCTTGAACTTGACGGACGAAGTCGGCCTTTCCTGCGGGCATAATATTGGCCATGACATTAGATCGGGGGATGCCTACCATGTCGGCGACAGCGTGGGCAGTGGTCTGGTTGTCTCCTGTGCACATATATACGTCGACTTTGCGCTTTTGAAGTTGTGAAATTACTTGAGCAGCATCGGGTCGGATTGAATCGGAGATTGCGAAGATGATTGCTGGGGTGAAATGTGAATCATTTGAAGACCCTGGGCCGACCTTGCGCAATGACAAGATCGTGGTGGATTTGCCTGACGTCTGGTAGGTTGAAAGAAGCATAGAAAGTTGGGAGCCATCGAGACGAGGTAAAGTCAAGCTTTGGAGGAGACGTTGATTTCCGATGGCTGCTTCGTACTGGGCTGTCCTGTTCGATTTGTCGGCCTTGTCCTCCAGAGACACGGTAAACCTGCCCCTCATTCCCTGGCCGGGTCTCTCTTCGATATCAGAGCTGAGTATACTAGCTGACTCCTTGCCACTGCAGAAAGCTGAAACCGCATGAGCAATCGGGTGATTGCTACTTTCCTCCAGTTTTCGGGCAAGGGACCATGCTACTTGCAATTCCTCAGAGCCTGTAACGAGCAGTTTATGGTCAGACACTGTTAAACTTCCTCCTTCCGTTAGGGTACCGGTTTTATCGAATACAATAGCGTCAAGGCGACTCGCTTCTTGGAAAGCTTCCCCTCCACCTTTGACCAATATACCATGTCGGGCAGCAAGTCCTCCTCCAACAAAGAGCGCTGTAGGAGCAGCGAGCGCCAGGCCGCAGGGGCAAGCAACCACGAACACTGCGATTGCAAATTCCAGGCTCCAGAAGGCCCAGCCACCATGTGCAACATCAAGATAGTCATCTGGCAAGGTGCCAGAAACACCCAGCACAAGCCAAATGACGAATGTCAATACGGCTATAAGCGTGATTATGGGAACAAAGTGGGATGTGAGTAAGTCCGCAACTCTTTCCAAAGGAGCGCGTCTGCTCTGGCCCTCACGCACCACGGCGATAATTTGATCCAGCATTGATGTCCCTCCAACCGCAGATACCTTTATCTTTAGGGGCTGGCCGACATTCACAGATCCTGTGTAAATAGGATCACCGGCGGACTTCTTCACAGGCCGCGACTCTCCTGTCAATGAGCTTTCGTCAAACTGATAAGTGTTGGTATCGACAACTACACCATCAGCAGGGGGTGAAGCTCCATGAGGTATGCTAACAATGTCACCGACGTCCAGCAGCTCGATATTAATCCTCTGTATCTCATTTTCTCCAGAGCTAGCTCCAGCATCATTTTGCTCCGCAGCACGCTTATTGACAATCAGCAACGCCTCGGAAGGCTTCAACTTACCGAGTGATGCAACTGCATCACCAGTTCTCGCTTTGCTGTATGCTTCGATAAATCGACCCGCTAGAATAAACAACGTAAGGAATACTACTGAGTCAAAGTAAGTCGTGCTGTTGTTCATTGATGAAGTTCCCACGACAGCATCAATTATCAGAACGGCCAATGAAGCGATATAGGCCACGGTGGTTCCGGCAAATATCAAGAGATTCATGCTACCAAAACGGTAGAACCTCCGCAGAATAGGCACACGGCTTCCGGGTCGCCAAAGGGAGTATATCTCCTTTGCAGCTCGCACGTGGAACAGGTCAGTACCATAGAACATGACGGGAGTTGTCATGATGAAAAGAGACCATTCCATCCGAGAGACACTCCCAGCCCACATTGGCTGCTCCAAATACTTTCGGGTCGGGTTGTTCGACGACACAAGGCTCATGAACACTATCCCGATTAGAAAGGTTGGAATTGCCACTAACAAAACGAAAAGGAAACGGGACAGCAGCCTACGCCTCTCGTACAACTGTATTGCTCGTGATCGGTCTTCTATGCTGGGAGGGTGGTAAACGGTGACTTTGAAAGCATCATGAACTTCATCGATGCGCTGAAGTATAGCTCTGATGGTAAGAGAGGGAGGGCGAGGAGTATAAGTGACTTTAACAATGGGGTTCTTGACAGATAGTGTATCATCAAGCTCAACACCAGAAAGCTCCTTCAAAGAGTTAAGAACCTTCTCTGGGCAATGGTGACAGAACATCCCCTCCACTCGTATTGCTACGGTTCTTCTTTCGATCTCATCGCCATCTTGACTTTCCCCAACCTGAGGTAGGACACTGGTGACCGAGGCGTCGTATCCTAGATCTTCGATTTTCTCCACGATGTCATCAATATGATCATGTCCGTCGAACTCTACCTTACCGCTATGAGACAAAAGATTAACTGAAACCTTTGTCACAAAGGGGAGTTCTTCCAGTCCTCGTGTAACACTCCCGGCACAAGAACCGCACGTCATGCCACTGATAGCAATTTCGGCGACATAAGAGGATAGGCTCCGGCTCTGTGATGAAGTCACTCCTACTTGTTGTACTTCATCGAGAGAGGCTTCAAAGCCAATATCCTCAATATGCTCAATCACCTTTTCTATGTTTGACTGGGGTCCGTTATAGAGGACTGTCGCACTATTGCTGAGAAGATTGACAGTGATGTCCACGATGAAGTCGAGCTGCTCAACCTCATTTGTGACTGTATTGACACATGATGCGCAGCTCATGCCTTCAATGCTTATACGGGCATTGAACCTTCCATCACTGTCATGTGGTTGCAGGGATTTGGAATTTTCCGCATAATTTCGGGGTACCAGACTCTCAATTTCCGATACTTCGTCACTGAGGCCAAATAATTGACTATCCTTCTCATTCCTTGACCAAGTAGGAGCCGTCTCTGACAGGTCTCGCAACTCGGATATTCCTTGCCGTTCCTCTTTCCGGCAGGCATCGCAATTTGCAAGGTGTCTATTCTGCGTCGAGCAGCCAGAATATGAAGCCTGCTGTGTCGCAAAAGGCACAGAGTCTTTGGAAAGCCACGAAGTTGTGCTAATGTCAGATACAACCATGCCTTTTTCATCACAAGTCGTTACATGATGAACCTCGAATGCAGCTTGAATCAAAGCCTGGGCTAAGGTGGAAGGACTGGTCTCTTCCGCATGAGAGACTCGCACCTCATGAGTGAGAATAGTGACATCAACGCCAAATACGCCAGATAGTTCTGAGAGGACTTCCGTGATGTATGCGATGCAGGAAGAACAATGCACGTTACTGACGAAGAAAGTGCTTTTGAGGTGCCTTGAGTCCTGGCCCGCAGGATTTCGAGATGTATGATCTGATGTTGGCGACATTGTATGCTGTTTGGAAGTATAGCGCTGCAGGGCACTGAACAAGGTCTTAAAAAGAGGAATTAGGAAGCATCCCTTGATGAAAGGGTGAATCGCGAAATAGCTAGCTGGTAGAACTGGTAGAACTTGATTCTCTGGGAAATAGGAGAAGGTGTTGAATATCAAGGCAGCTAGTTAAGACGTGCTAGAAGAGGCCAACATGGGGGGAAGCCTGTTGGGTTGAATTGTAACAAGCGAGGAATGCAGCAGTATGTTTCTGGAAAAGTCCGAAGGTGACAGCAGGAGCGACGAGAACATTAATTCTGATTAAATGTTATGTTAAAATGATTAGAAAGGCGCAAAGTAGAAAAACAGAATTAGATATTAATTTCTGGGGAGGCACGCTGGCAATAAAGTACTACACGGAAAGAGGCTGCGTCTTTTGTGCGTGAAGCTGTGGAGAGACGCTAAAGTACGCAGAAATCACTCATTCCAAAGTATGGAACCGCCACAAAGATTGACGAATATTCAGGATGACACCAGGACATCTTTTTATCATTAGTCAACTTCGGTCGAGTGACTTCATCGATTAGAACAGAAAATACTCGTGTCGGTACGTCCGTATGCCTGTTACATACCGACAGGAGGTTGAGCGATAATAGCGTCAAATGTCAAGTCCACAATGACATGCCGTGGCAAATCTTGATTCCAGCCCCAACTGGGAGAGATAAGATTAAATGAGTCATAAAGACTATTTTCTATCAGATTGATAATCACCTCGCCTGGTCTGACTTGTTGACTTGAAGGGGAGAAGAATGATGGCCAGGTAGAGACAACCATATCTGCAAACGGCCACCTTCATGTTGGATGAGCATGAACAGGGTCCAAAGGCTTAACACATAGACAGGCGGACCCTTTTCATACACATGGCATTCGCAAGTCATGCTTCTGGTACATGTTGATTACTCCGTACAGATGAATGTTATTGCCCTAACAATCATCTGGTGAAATAAATTGACTTGACGAACTCGACGGGAATCGAACGGTGGCTCCTCCTGGAAACATGACTGGAATGCCGGAGTCCACTGCGACCACGTGACCCTCCCACTGGACCACGAAGACTTTTTCAACGCGTCGTCGCTCGCACTGATCACGTCGCCATCCAATTTTTCACCCCCTCCACGCATCGCCTGTCGCGTGTCAATCTATTTATTGAAATCGGATGCAGATCTATCTAATCTACTTCGTTTAAAAGATATTTTTTTTTTGCCGCTAAGTAAAGTTGGCGTCTTTTTTTTACACTATTGGACTGAAGTCCCTTTACTTACAAGCACACCTGATATCGACATTTCGACTTCTAAACGTCGACAAATCATATATCCGTTTTTCTCTTACAACCAATTCATCACATCTCCAAGTCCTATCAATCCGATCCCGACCCCCGTTATCAATCACCTCGACCCATTCATAGGAAGCATGTCTCCTTGATCTCATTTACTCTTCTTTCCTCTCCACTTCTGAACCTCCTTACTTTATATATTCCTGCGTCCCAGAAACTCTTTGGAATTGGATTATTGGTGAACATTAACTTATCCTCGAACCACGCGTATCATGTCTACTTCTAGACCGGGAATGCGCCCTCCATTCCCCCCGAAGGCTGGCCCCAGGGCACCGCCGATGGGTCGGCTGGCCAGTCTCAAATCCCCTAATCCTGCTGCAATAAGACGACCTCAACCAATTGGCCGGCCACAACCAGCCAAGCCGACTACTCACCCGAAGACTTCTACATGCCCTAACCCTGGTTGTCCCGCACCTCATATTGTGGAGGATGACGGGCAGAAGGTTTGTTCTGGGTGTGGTACAGTCATCAGCGAGGCAAACATTGTCTCCGAAGTGACTTTCGGTGAGACATCGTCCGGTGCTGCAATTGTTCAAGGTACATTCGTTGGAGAAGATCAGACTCATGTCCGCAGTTATGGCCCCGGCTTTCAACGTGGAGGTGGTGCGGAAAGCCGAGAGATTACTGAGCAAAACGGTAGTCGATATATCAATCAGCTATCCCGTGCTCTGAACATTCCAGAGAGTGCTTCAAAAGCTGCTGGTCAGGTTTTCAAGCTCGCAGTTGGTTTGAACTTCATTCAAGGTCGCCGAACAAAAACAGTGGCTGCGGTGTGTCTCTACATCGCTTGCCGCCGGCAGGACGGTAACACCGTAATGCTCATTGATTTTGCGGATGTCCTCATGATCAACGTGTTCAAGCTAGGTCGAACGTATAAAGCTTTGCTGGAAGAGCTGCGTCTAGGTGGCAATGTATTCCTGATGAATCCGATCGATCCAGAGAGTTTGATTTATAGGTTCGCCAAACAGCTGGAATTTGGAGCTGCCACGATGCAGGTAGCCAGCGAAGCTGTCCGTATCGTGCAACGAATGAATCGCGACTGGATGACCACCGGTCGACGTCCTGCTGGTATTTGTGGTGCTGCTTTGATTCTTGCGGCACGAATGAACAACTTCCGGCGCACAGTCCGCGAGGTTGTATACGTCGTCAAAGTAACTGAAATCACTATTAGCCAACGTCTCAACGAATTTGGTGCAACGGAAAGTGGAGAGTTGACAGTCGATCAATTCCGCTCTGTGCAGCTGGAGAATGCCCATGATCCGCCCTCTTTCACCAGGGCAAGGGAAGGGAGGAAACCGTCGCGGAGTTTCAGAAGAAGACCCACGGAAACCGCAGCGGATATTGAGGGAGATCTTACTGATGTCACTACAACGCCCTCGAACAGCGCTCCCCAGCAGCATAAACGCGTTGATGCGGATGGCTTTGCCATCCCTAGCCTTCCCATCGATCCGGCTTTGATAGCAGCAGATGGCGAGAGACGAACGTCAACAACATCCATCGAGAGCGAGGTTGCATCAGAAGTCAGCGAAAACCCGGGTAAACCAGCTAGGGGCCGCCCTAAAGGTTCCAAGGCACGACCCCTACCAACTCCGACTCCCGATCAAATCGCCTCAGAGGAAGCCCTCGAAAATGAGATGACCGCCTATCTGACAAAAGGCTCCAATATGATCGAGAGTACTACGGTACCAAGGAAAGCTGTGTCCGAAAGCGCTGAAATCGATGAGGCCGAATTTGATTCAGATCCGGAGGTCTCTAACTGTTTACTGTCCCCTGCCGAGGTCGAGATCAAGGAGCGGATTTGGGTGCACGAGAACAAAGACTATCTGCGGACACAGCAGGCCAAGGCTTTGAAACGGGCCTTGGAAGAGGCTGATTCCCAGCCCGGAATGCATAAACCACGCAAGCGTCGTCGCGGTAGGCTAGGGGACGTCACGTACCTACAGGGTGACGGCGAAGACGGTGATGGAAGAAGCACACGGGCTTCTACTCCAGCAGAAGCAACCCGTCGAATGTTGGAACGAAGGGGGTTCAGTAAGAAGATCAACTATCGGTTGTTGGAGTCACTGTTCGGCGAAGAGGGTGCAGATGAGGCCGCCAAGGCGGAAGGAGAGAGAATGAGCCGCAGTCAGAGTGTGGCATCACGGCGTAGCGTCAGTGTTGAACCAGAGGGTATCTCGAGACGTGCTAAACTAGCGACTCCATCAACTCGCGCTAACGCCCCTGGCTCCCCGGCTCCAACGTCCGTTCCCGCGCGTAGTGTCACTGAACATACTCAGCAAATCGGTGTCACAACGGATAAGGTTGGTCAGGCGGACCCCAAGGAAAATGCCGCAGAGCCGGCCACCGATGACAAGAACGGTTATTCGGATGATGAGTACGACGATGATGATGAAGACCCCGATGGTGTGGATGCTGCTCTCGCAGGACACTACGGCGATTACTATGACGAGGAAAGCGACTACTATGACAGTGATTAGTGTGACTAGTATTTATAAAGTTTAATACCGGGTATAGCGAATAGGATAGATACCTTTGGATGCGAGAAATGACAAGCTAGATTTTGGTTAACCTTGAATATCAAGATGATACCGTTCCTTCGTGCAGCCAGCGTCTGATCATGAGCGACTTCCCATCATGAAGAACCTAGGGACATCCAAAAGACCAAGGAATAACACCATGTCCTCCGTCAAGGTCCACATCTCTAACCGTGGCCATGCACGAAATCCCCCGACTCCTTCCCTTCCTGACTCGGAACTGCCATTCCGGTTACCCATCACGTGTGATCGTCGGTTTCCCAAAAGTCACCCATGGTCACAGCTTCATTCCAAGTTCAAGCTTCTACCTTATCACAATTGCCACAGTCGCCACTACTATTGTTGTCACTGTAGACTGATCCCCCTCTCTTGTACCCCATGCTCACTGTGCTTCGGATCCAGTTAAGGATCCAATATGTATCCTTTTAACGTACTCGTATGCTTGCTATATCATTACTAATGTCATCTAGGTAGAAGGCTAACTCTCTCCCATCCACTTCAAGGATGCGCTTGGCCGCAGTACCCTCAGGCAAGGGGCAGTTTGTGACGCAACAGCCCTCCCAGAGGCGCTATTCCTATGCTCTCGGCCGAGGTCATAGCTCTCAAGGGTAGAGTTTACGAGAGTTATGCATTCTCCTTCGGAAAGGGACTTGCGCTGTGCAGCGGTGGTGCACCTCAGGCTGAACCCGGAAGTAATATCCAGTGGAACCCACCATATCCTGCAAGCTGGGTCTATTCACAGGCTTCGAGACTTTCCAGTCCAGACCCCGAATCTGCTGATCATTGGGAATGCGGAGGGGTACCTGCTCCGCAGGCCAGAATGCATGAATCATGATCAAGCAGTGAGAATTATCAAATGCTGCCGATCTACCGGCTGACTCTATCTACTCTCTTTGCCCTATTAAGAAGTTAGGAGCGGAATTTCTCCGGCTGGTATGGGACGCCCCTCCTGCACGCGTCTAGAAAAGGTTAGTATGGACTTTTGATATTGAGGGATACCTATCTATAGTGGGCAAGGGTGCATCCTGCACTGAAGCTCTTTCGTCACCAATACATACGCTTGGATCCACTGCAGATTACATGGAGCTCACTGTGTTTGCATGCTGATTGACAAACTGAAGCATACTAATTTCTCTATATAAAGTCCTTCGGGCAGCTACTTTCCTTACTCCTCGGTCACCTTGTCTCAAACTTGTCCCTGTGTCCTCTTTCACAACATGGTGAAGCTTAACATGTACGGCCGAGGGCTAGGCCTTCGGATGGCTATTATGCTCACCTGCCAAATATCGTTTGTCTTATTTGGTGCGAGACTTCAAACTCATTGTTGTACTGCAGCAAGCTAACTTCTGCGTTGGTCATTTGTAGGTTACAATCAGGGTGTATTTTCCGGAATCGTGGGGAATGAAGACTTTCTCAATGTTGTACATCACCCAGGCTCAGCGGCCATTGGGATCATAGTTGGGATCTACAATCTAGGTTGTTTCCTCGGGACAGGAGTGTGTTTCATGATTGGAGATAGGCTAGGGTTTCGAAGGACAATGTGGTTCTCGATGACTTGGATTGTGGTATGTCTGCACTTGCAACGTCCAAACTGACATAAAGACCGCTCAGATAACATTCCATGCAGGCTGGGGCCATTGCACAAACCTGCGCGTTTTCCACAGCACAATTGCTGGCGTCGCGATTCTTTACTGGAATTGGCACTGGGGTTTTTACCAGTATTGTGCCAGTGTACCAATCGGAACTGTGCGACGCACGGAAACGAGGAATGTATGTATGTAGCCAACCTCTTGCCGTTGGGGTAGGCATTGTTGTTGCCTATTGGTTCGACTACGGGATGAGCTATGTTGAAGGACCCGTAAATTGGCGGCTACCAATCGCCTGCCAGATCATTTTTGCTCTCATTGTGACGGTTATGGTCCTCGGGTGAGTGTGCATCCTACCTAACTCAGTGGTCTACATGCACATGTTATTGAACGCGTATCTCACGTATAAACAGGCTACCGGAGAGTCCTCGATGGCTATACCGGCGAGGTCGTGGAGGCGAAGGCTTGCAGGTGCTCTGTGACTTCCATGATCGCACTGCGAACGACCCAAAAATAATTGAAGAGTCGCAAGGGATAACCAAAGCTATCCAACTGGATATCCTCCGCGGAGAATACAGGTGGTCCCAGATCTTCAAGAAAGACGAGCTGCACACCGGCAGACGTGTGTTACTGGCCTACGGGTTGCAATTCATGAACCAAATGGGAGGAGTCAACATCATAGTCGTAAGTTGTGAAGCCGACAGTATCCGTTTTCCCCCAACATAAACTGATTCTCAACCAGACCTATGTCACTACAGGTAAGGATCATACTCCCCATGCAACCTGAATACTACTGAGGATGACAGTGTTGGAGACCAATGTGGGCCTTGACAAGGAGTTGAGCTTACTTCTGGGGGGTGTGATTCAGGTGATGTTTGTCATAGGTAATCGAGCATTCCTCCTAAACACTGCTTATCTAGAAGGTCTGCTGATCTCGTTACACAAGGCTCGTTCTATCCCACATTCTACTCCGATCGACTGGGTCGAAAAAAGCCGATGATGTGGGGATCTTTCGGGTTATTCCTTTGTATGATGATGATCTCCATTCTTTTGTCTTTCAAGGGTAAGTAAGCCCCCTTGTGATATGGCTGGGCAGAGGAGCAGAGAGCTCACGGTTTGCTAACTCTCAATAGGCACCTCCTTGGAGAAAGCAGCAGCTACCGCATCGGTGCCGTTTTTCTTCTTGTTTATGCTCATCTTTGGCGCGTCCATTAACTGCATACCATGGGTTTACGGGCCGGAGATTCTCCCCCTTCACGTCCGAGCGAAAGGGTAGGCATAATAGCTTCATTCCAACCGGGAGCCCCTGCGGAATTTGTGAAAGCTAACTGAATACTCCCGAAATAGCCAAGCTCTCGGAGTCTCGGCAAACTGGCTGTGGAATTTCTTCGTGGCCATGATCGGACCAACCTTGATCAACGACCTTGCATGGAAGGGCTACCTGATTTTCATGTGCTTCAACCTTGTCTTCGTGCCGGTGAGCCAGAATCGTCCGCGGCCACCTCTTCCATAATAACTAACAAGCATGCTTAGCTTCTTTATTTTTTCTACCCTGAAACTGCCAACCTCACTCTCGAGGAGATCGATTCCCTATTTATGCACAAGAGCCCACAATCGTTGGACTCGTCGGAAGAGTGGAAGGAGCCTATTGTCGTCACCACGAGTGTTGAAACACTAAAGGAATAGGGTACATGGATTACATTATGGGAAGCGTTCGCTACGATGAGTCGAAGATTATGGGTTAATAGAATGGCTTTATAGTTGTATTCTTATAGCGCGCAATATATCCTAAATAGTTATATAGTTTAGCAATGCACGCAGCTGGAATGTTGGGGAGGATGTTCATCGAAACAAATGGGGATATATGACATTTTTATCCGGATCTGCACTCAGCCGATCAATATATTGATCTTTCCTCTCAATACTTACCTATTATTTATTCATTAGATCCACGGCCACCCAAATGTTCTCGATCAACTAGAAAAGCAACTGAATTAATTTTATTTTATGTGTACATTCAATGCCAATGTAGATTAAAAACAAACAAACAAAGTATTTACTAACAAAGATGGAGAGATAGTGAACAAAATATCATTTTGTCGTAAAAGCGCTGCTTGTAGAAATATATATTCATGTACTCATTATACCTCAACCCTTCAATATGAAGCTAATATTCAATTCCAAGCTCTTTAACAGTGGATATGAAATCTTGAAGTTTTAGATATCGCAATGAATATATGTATCCTATGAATAAAAGCGACTCATTAGCCTTATTCGTATTTCTAATATTTTCTGGTCAGTTGCAGTTTTATTCATCTTTTTGTGTTGCCGGTTGGATTTATTCATCTAGGTTAGATTGTTTCTTTTTGGTTCTTCTCTTTGCTTTTACGTTTTCCTCTTCTCTTTTATTTTACTCTTGGATTGTTACTATTTTTTTTTGGATTTCTTTTTGCCTTTCACAGCTCCACAGGTAAGATACTAGTATCGTGTAGTATAATGCTTGTACTAGTGGAGTGCGTAGAGCAACTTAAGTTTGACTTAGGGTGGATGCCCGAATGAGTTGTCAATCATGCCTGACAACACTACGGAATACTTAGTGGGGGTTTTAATTCTGCTAAAAGGATCTGCTTTTCTTTCATGTTCATTCTTTCTTGAATATATTTATTTCTTTCTTTTTTTGATCTCTTATGATATCTTTCACAATAATGGATCGAAATTATGAACACAATGTCAATATGAAGAAAGAAAATCGAAATGACAAACCATGAGCGAACACCGCAAGTGAATACCACCTTTTGCGCCCTAAAAATTTGGAAGAACAGAAAATGATATCACCAAAATCCCGATACCGGATGATTACGTTTTGCCGAAGAACCCAAAAGACAATGAGAAAAGATCTGTGCCGAAAACATTGTTAGATACGAAGCGAAATGTGTGAGCAAAACTCGTCGAAACTTTTTTTTTTGCGCGCGCGCGCTGTCGAAGCCCGTGTCGAGATTTTACGCGTCGATGTCCATGCCCGTCCCCATTCCTACGCTGCCGTTCAGCCCAACGCCCGCGCCATCACTGACGGGCTGCGCCGAGAGGGTTTGTAAGAGAGGAAGGCCGGCGTCCGCAGGGTTCGCCCCGAGGATATTTTGCGTTTGAAGGGGTGCATTATTGACTGATCGGTGCGAGGCATTCAGAATCTGAGTCCCCTCGAAGACAATGGGGTTCGATCGGAGGTTTTGAATGCAGGTTTCCCAAGCGGATGCAACCAGCTGAGCCTGGGTGAGATCGTCGTTAAACAAATAAAAGGCGTTGGAGTTTGCTGGTCCAAAGGGCGTGACAGGTCGTGCAGTCACAAGGTAAGCGTTCAAAGCTCGATTCTTCATAAGTATTTGAGAGTCTAGGAGATATACGGAATATTGTTTGTCGATGTATTTCTTCCAGCCGCGCACTGCGGCTGCCATGTCGCCATCGCCGTCGAACGTGATACGTTGCCAGCTGATACCGAGAAGACGAGTCGCGTCGTCAACTAGCGGCTCATCAGGCGAGCGATTTGTCGCGTCGAGGAGGCGGCGGTTGTCATCTTTGCCGCTGTCCTGTAATCGCTGCACTGAGGAGAGTGCGATATCATCGAGTCTGGGAGCAGAGGGATCAAGACGCTGGGACTTCCGGCCTGAGATATTTGACTGGCCGGATTGAAACGCCTGAGATTGCGACGAGACAGACGGTGCAGCAGCAGTAGTGCTCTCCAGCGTTTCTTCGTACCAAGTGCCTGTCTGAGTCTCGGCGGAGAGAGCCAACCCGGTACGGGGATTCAGAAGAATCATACCTTCTCCATAGATAGGCTCCTCTTTCTTTGCAGGAGCCGGCGTGGGGATGGAGGGTACATTGGGGGCATTCATAGCTTCTTCGAAAGCCGCTTCATCACGCGATCTTTTGCGCGACGGCTTTCCGTTGACAGGCCCAGACACAGCTAGCTTTGCACCAAACGAGGTGCTTGGACCACTCGAGAAAAAAGAGTTTGAGTTTTGGGAGACGGTATCAAGCTTAGAGTGGCGAGGGAACTGAAGGAAGGCGTGTTCCTGGGGAGGGGACAGGACCATGGCAGGGCCGTCGGAGAGGCTGTTGAGCATCATCGGACACATGGTGTTCTGAAAGAGCTGATAAAATCGGAGGCAACTACAAGAAAGAGAATCCGATCTGTTTTGTCAAGTGAGCTAGAACCAACAAGATAGAGCAACCTATGGATCACGAGATCCAAGTCGTGAGAAGAGGATCTATGAGGTTGGCGCAACGAATGCTGACGTTGCGAACAAGGGGAGGAGGGTCGGTATCTAACGAGATGATATGAGATGTGATGGTAGAGCAAGGAGGAAGGATAGATGGGGATGGTGACGATGAAAGAGAAGAGAGACAAAATGATGAGAGGAGGAAGGAAAGGAAGAAGAGAAGAGAAAGAAAGGAACGGAAGGGAAGGGTGGAGAGAAGATGCAGGGAAGGGAAAAACACGAGAGAGAGAGAGGATGAGGAGCCAACAGCGAACCACGGGATGGGAAGGGGAGAGAGAAAGGAAAAACGCGTGAAAAAGAGGCTGACGGGAAGCAGATGATTTGCTTGGACGTTTCGGAGCTTCTTTTTTGGATGCGATGCGGAGAAGGATTTGTTCGCCTCGTTACCGTTCCATACACACCCTGTCGGCCATTTTTCCTGCAATGTGCGGTTGCTGTATACCATACCTTACTGTACAGCTAGCCTTCTCCACCGACTCCAGATCGACCAGCAAGGATGCTGCCATTATTGGACGATTGGGTCATCGCTCTGGGCAACCATTCTGTGGAACCCTGACCTTCAACTCTCCCCCGATTGGCTAGTTTTTCAAGCCCCGTCCGCGCGTCCGGTCGTTCCAGGAACCCTGTCACCATCTTTGATTGCTTTCATTCGTCACTTCCTCACAAGTGGGCCTGGAGTTTGAGGAAGTTTCATGCCAATTGGCAGGAACGGCTGCTCCACTTAGTCTGGGCAAGTTCAATGACGATTTTGGGAAAGCCTGGAAGCCTTGCATTTGTGGCCTGAGGAAGCAAGGCGCTTGGTCCGACGCTCAAGCAGCCCCCCCTCGGCACTCAAGCGAGTCCGGAGATACGTAGCATATTCCGTCCGACTTACTACTTACTAATTTAATTAACAAGCAGAACTGCAACGCATTTGGAATATTTCGATCAAGTCTATTTTGGTAGAAGAAATAGAAGAGAATAAATCTATAGTCACAAGAAGGAATGCGGAACAATATCAAGAGCTAGATAAAAGCAATATCCCGACACCAGAACCTCGTGCTAGTTTAACGTGACACAAATGTTCATCAAATCTCAAACAATACAATGGAATCCTAAGAAGGATTGACACCGTAAACAACAAAAGGTAGGGGGGAACTCCCGAACGAGATCCACAAGTCATATCACGACCCCTCGAGATGACATCCAGTGTTCATCAGGCACAGGCTGCATTCCCTGCATGTGGCCGTACCTCCTGGCACTCCGGGTGTCCATCCCGTGGGACTACTGCAGCTGACAGGCATTATCTTTTAAGCTGCGGGCCATAAGGTTTATCATGAGGCCCACTGTGTAAATAGTGGTATAAATAAGTAAAGAAATGAAGGTTGGTAGGTTTGTGTCGTTCAGTTTCACATGGCACCTGAAACCGCTCCGTGTTCAGGATGCATCCACTCCGTATCTATCTTAGATAGAACACCTCACAAAGCCTGACGGCGCCTTTACGCGTTTCCAGCAGTGGCGCCACCGAGCAAGCCCTTGACTCTGTCAACAGAGCCGCCAGCATAGCTGGGTGCCATGGATCCAGCCAACAGGAAGAAGATGAGGACAATAGCACCGATGATGATGGACTTGCGCTTGGCGGGGTGGTTGGCACCGTATTCGGCCCAGGCACGGTTAGCCTGGCTGGTGTATTCCTTGATCTTATCACCACCGAGCTTGTAGTAGACGAGACCAACGAGGGCAATGGAATAACCGAAGAACTGGGTAAGGGTAACAGGAGTCTGCCAGATCATCATCGACGCAATAACCAGGAGGATATCCTTCAGAACACCGCAGAGGGTCATAACGAGGGATGAGGTCTTTCCGATCTGTAGCCAACAGTTAGTTTGGGCGTAAACACCATCGAAAAGGCTGATTCTTACCAGGAAGACAACCGAAACGTTCAGCAGGAAAGCAACAACAGCGTTCAGCAACAGAGTCCAGACACCCACGCGGTAAACGTGGTCCATAGTGACATAAGGGACCTCCATGAACAGAGCAGTGACACCGTTCATCACAGCGCAAACCGGAGCGAAGTAGTACAGGGAGACGAGAGGGTCCATCTTGTACTCGGCGGAGCTAAGCAGGCGCTGCACCATGACCAGACGAGTGGCCTCGAAGATAATACCACCGATCTGGAACAGAAATCCCGTGAGGACGAACTTGATCTCACCGAAAGATGCGATAATGACACCAATGACAATCAGGGAAACGTTCATGAGCACCTTGTAGTTCACAGGAGCCATTCCCATTCCCCAGGTAGCGAAGAGCACAGCGACCGGAGTCGTAGCCTAGATATCGTTGTGAGCGAGGAACAACGGTTTTGTGATCGAGACGAACGCACCTTGAGCATCTGAATGAATGCAACACTCAGGTACAAGTAGGTCACATTACCGCAAATCAAACTCAAGCTGAAGAAAAGACCAATAGGGACGATAGCGCGGAGATAAACCCGGCCAGTCATCTTAACAGTTTTCCTGCCATCGAGTAAGGTGGTGGTGCGGGCGAGAACTTGGGTCATGAAGGTCGCGAATGCCAAATGCCATGTGGTAAGGATAATAGCTGCCACGATATTAGGATACTGTCTCTGTATACGGGTTGAGTGCAGGAAACCTACGAAAGCCTATATAACATAGGTGTTAGAACTATTCCCATCCTCTGTAGCCACAAATCTCAGGAGTGTACTTACGGAACTGAGCATAATCGAGGATGTGCTTGTTGAACAGAATGACGCTGGAACTCAGAGTAATCCAAACGCTGCGAGAAGATTAGTAAATTCATCTTGTGCAAGACTGAGTTTCCTAAGCCCAGCACTCACGTCACATAAACCGCGGGGTGGAAGGCAGGCTTGGGAGGCTCTGCCCTCTCAGCGGCCGGGTTAACAGTAGGCAGACTAGGTTCCGGGCGGGAGACCTCGCCGGAGGTTCTGGCCTTTTCTCCTTCGGAGCTCATTTTTAGGATACGACTTTGGTCTGATAGAAAACGTTGGAACTCGAAGGGTCGCGGCCGTAGAAGGCTGCTTTGGCTAAATTGCGCGGAGGCCACGGGTGAAGATGAAACGACAGAAGAACTGGAAAGAAAGGAATAAGTTTAGTCCAAGAAGAAGTGAAGAATAGCGTGAATGAATGAACGAGTGGGACAAGAGTTGGTCTGAACTGAAGAATAAGAAAAGAGATGCAAAGAGACAAACTTGGCGCTCACGAAAGAGAGATGGGAAGCATGAGAGAAGGGAGGAGGGAGGAGAAAGTGAAAAGGTTGGGAGCGAAATACGTAGTAAGTATACGTTTTTCTTTTTTCCTTACCCTGCGGATAGGCTGTGATTTACTTTTTTGTCGGTAAGCGTTGCGAAAACGCGGCACGGGTTGATTTATTTGGCGGGATTATTTTATTTTATTTTATTTTAAGGGGGGGCAGGACGAGGCAAAGAACAGGGAAGAGAGGGTCGGGGATCCGCATCGACGAGAAGGAAAAGAGAGATCGTGGCCCGGGATGAGATATGTCGTTCGCTGAGAGGGAAGCGCAAGCTTGCACTTAGACTCCCGTCTTAAGACCCGGTCCAAGGTCAACGCTTACCGGACATAGTAGTGTCCCTTAAACTGAGGCATGCAGCAACCGCATGCAGCACACGCCTTCTGTTCTCTTTCCAGCCATACATAAAGTACTACTACACTGCATCGTAATAATACTAACATACATATCTTATTTCTCTCGCATACCACATATAACATGTGAAGTGGTTCACAATAACCAGCTATTTCATAGTAGTATAGATATTAATAGTAATGACTAACCA